AACGGTTAGCACGTGCCCAAGCAAGGACTTTATTCACTAATTGCTCGATCTTTGGTATTTACCAGAAGTCAGTCTCTCCAATTTGTCTTCCAAGAAGTTTTTGTTAAAAATCGGCCAGCCCTTTTACCTTTCCTTCACGTCATCAGAAAGAACAAAACTCCCAAACTGGGCACGTTTGGGTCTCCACCCATTCCTACCGCCCTGTGTTCTGACTGCACCTATCAGAGGCTGCACTTCCCCTTGACCCAGCTGTTTATCAACAAAGCTCTTCCTTCTAGAAAAGGCAACGACATTTAAATTGCTGAAAACGATCAGCCTCAAATCATCTGAATTTCACGTCAGGTGTAACTGCTTTCCGTAATTAGGAACCCGGAGAAATTCCTTTTTTTTTTTTTGCAAATTATCTCCAGATGTGGCCTACAGAAAACTTTATTACAACATCACCCAGTAGCCAGTGCCCCACAATTTCTTATTCTGTCACCCTGTACGGAAGATGAATAACAAACCATCCATCAGAGAAAAAAAGCTCTAGGTGTTGCCCAGGATCAAGTTTCAAACTGCAGCGGCCTCGCCCACTTCCGCAGCCTGCAGCCCCCTTGCCCAGACTAACCTTGTCTTTCTTCCATAGCACTTTATCACTTGAAATTATTTATATGTTACGCACATTGTTTATTGTCTGTCATCCTGGCAGGCGGGCAAGCTCCACAAAAGCGGGGAACTTTGTTTTGTTCACTGACACGCATTAAGGGCCTAGGACCATGCCTGACACACTTAGTTGCACAAGCATTTGCCCAGTGAATGAGTCAGTCTGCCACCTTTTTTCAGATTACAGTTTCTAGTCTGACCTCGGAGGTGGCACGCGCGTCACAGATCCTGCTCCACGTAGGCCTCTGAGGTGGTTCAAGGGCGCAGTCACTCTTACCTCCACACACCGCGGTCACTGATTTACCCAATCCGCGGAGATGCTTTCTCTCAAACACCTCTCCACTTTGTCCCTTCTTCTGTATTCCCATTGCCCCAGTCTACACAATTAGCACCTCAAATAGAGTCTAATTGACCTCCCGGCCTCCAGTCTATCCCCCCTGCAGGTTCTTTTGCGTGTTGTAAGCGTCCTTTTGATCGCAGCAGTCCTCCGTAATCGGCTCCCCTGTCAAACCCCAGCCATCCTGCGCAGTCAAATGGTCAGGAGTTAGGTCTTGAAGAAATACCAAGTGTCGCACAGGCAAATGAGCTACCCCATGCCGGGGTGGAGGAAAGGTGCTAGGAGGAGTTACCCCAGGCGGAGGTGGAGGAAGGCTCGGTGTGGGCTGGAGTCCGGAGGCCGTCCCACAAGACTGAAGGGGAGCTGTTAGAAGAGGCGCGGGTCTGGGTTTGAGGCCGGTGTAGACAATCTGGTGAACACATACAAGCATGGATTGAGGAAGACTGACCAGAGGCAAAATTTACGGAACCCTTGCAAGAGAGTTGACTATTGATGCAACAGTTGCCTTTTCCGTGCCCGTGATGTCTCAGGTAGCATTCCAAGCTTTAGGATACGGCAGAGAATTTCTCAGAATTTGGGGAACAGATGGGGAGAAAGACCAGTTTTGGGAACAAACCACCGTGTGTCCTTGTGTTAGCTTGGCTGCCTCTCCCAGCCCCGGACGGGCTCTCAGAGCCAAGATAAGCACTGTTGACCAAGTCATCACTACCCCACATTCCACCGGGCTGCTCTTAAAACCAGAACAGGGGTTAGTTAGGGAAAAGGAAAGAAATGCGTCTTCTAAGTCAAGAATCAACACACATTTTCTGTAAATGACCAGATAGTAAATATTTTAATTTTGGACATCCTACAATCTCTGTCACTACTCAACTATGTCCTTGAAGAACAAAGCACCCTCAGACAACATGTGAACAGAAAGTGTGATTATGTTCCAATAAAACTTTATTTACAATAACCAGTCAGCCAACTTAGTCGACAGATCAGAGTTCACTGGCCTTTGCTCTATGACATGAAGACCGTCAAAACCTAATGCTCAATTTTAATTGAGGCAGAAAGAGTATGAAGATTAGAGACCAGAAAGCTGAAATAGAATCCAAATTTAAAAGACTGGGGCTGTAGCTAAGTGGTCGAATGCTTGCCTAGCATACCCGATGGAGGTCTGTTTCCCATCTACAGCACTGCAAACCAACCCCTAAACAAGAATCCCAACTTTACAACAAGCTATGGTGCATTAGGAAACTAAACCACAGTTGCCTAATGCCTAAGATGAGACATGGCATTACATGGTGGTCAGTCAGATGGTTCAGATTGCAGCGGATTCCAGTGCTCCCACTCTGCCTTTGGCAAGATTCTTGAGAAGCCTGTGAGCTTTACTCTCCTCCGTTTTCAAGAGGATGAAAAACATCACCTTCCTTGTGGAGAGGAGGAGGTGAAACTGCGCGTATCCAAAGTTTGGCACAAATCACGTACTCCGTGCTAGATTTCCATAATATTAGTAGCCATCATGATCATAGTACGATGCAGCTTCCCACGGAGTGACTATTGACACAAATGGTGAAAATATTTGTTTCCTCATTTCAGAGATGAAAGGCAAGAGTGTTGTTCTGTTGTCATACTCGTGTTAAGTCCTAACGGATTCCTCACAGCCACAGGAAGCTGCAGCCCCCTTGTAACACAGCCGCTGCTCTTTCAGATGATTGCCTGTAAGTGGCTTTCCCATTTTGAAGATGAGCATGCATAATGCATTATGCCGTCAGGGTTACATTTTTCCCATTGATTGGCCTCTTGGCTCTATCAGGGATTTTGCCGGCCGGCACTTTGTCTGTGGAGGAGGCTGGGTCTGTTTTCTGGGATGGTGAGCACGAAGAGTATCTTTCAGGTTTTGTGTTTTTAAAGTGACTGATACGATTTTTTGTCCTCCAATTACATCCAGGTTAAAGTTGTGCCATGCACTGTGGATTTCCTGAGCCAGGTATGTGAGTGTCCCAATCAGTGCAGCACCTGCAGGGGGACTCTGAGGACTGGGATACGGGCGGCTCCTCCAGGGCACCCTGACCGCCGCTTAACCCAAATACATAAAGGACCTTTCACATAACCTTCACATTTTACTGCAGAACCGGGAAAGACCTGCAAAGATGACCCCACCTGTGTGAGAATCTCTGGGGTCGTCTTTGTTGTTTATTGTCCTGCATTGAAGTGCACCACAGAAATCTTCTTGGCTGTTCATGTAATGACCTTTCGAACCAGGGGCCGGGCTGTGTCCTCTGTTCCTGTCATCACTAATCAGCCCCGTGACCTTCCCGCCCCCTAGACAGTGGCGGGCTGCATTTCGGGCTGTCTTCTGTCCGTCGGGCAATCCCAGCTGCCATCCACCTCCCGCTCTGTCTTAGAGGTCATCAGCCAGGGGGGTGAAGGTGGTAAACACTAATTAATATGCAAATTTGCGAGTAACTTGCCTCTGGGTGCTGAGGCTGTTTGCACAGTTGTGGACAAACTGGGGTTTGTCTTAACCATAATTAGCAGGATAAATATAAAATGATGACAGTAACTGTTAGCTAGCTTTTTAAAAATGGTACTATAGCCTGCTGGGTCTGCACTGCCTTGGCTCAGCAGGGGATGCCTCCATAAAATGAATTTTAAAATGCTGAAATATCCATTTTAATTAAAAGGCAAACACTGAAATGAGTTTTTCGCTTCAAAAATCATAGTTACCCGGCAACAAATTGTTGACACATATATTTAAAATTACTATCTTTTTGTCAGTTGACCTCATCCCAATGCAAAAAGAGAGAAGCTTGCTCTCAGTAATGAAAAGTAACACCTATTAAACGCTCTGCAGCCGTTGTGCTCTATACTTTTTCCTTTTCTTTTCTTTTCTTTTTTTTTTTTTTTTTTTTTTTTTTTATACAGGGTCTCACTATGTAGTTGAGACTGACCTGGAACTCACTATGTAGCCCAGG